CACCACAAGCCACTGGAGATATTCTGTGAAACATGTGATACTGTCATTTGTCAACACTGCACAGTTCGAATACACAAAGACCATGAGTATGATTTAGTCAATGACAGTTACACTAAACACTGTCAGGTATTGGAGACCTGCTTAGAACCGGTTAAAGAAAAAATGAAAGAACTCAAGGAAGTTAAATCTGCTCTAACAGAAACAGAGGGAGAGGTCAGAGAGAGAGGAGAAGGAATATTAAAAGAGATAAATGAAATGGTAGAGGAAATGATTGCTGTTCTTCGTCAGTCAGAGAGGAAACTGACTGAGCAGGCAAAGAGGGTCACTAATGCTAAACTAAAGGTGCTGTCAGAGCAAATGAAATCAGCAGAAATGAGTTTGAGTGTTCTGGAGGATGTTGAGGATTATGTGGAACAGAGTCTGAAGATAGGCAGTCCTCAACAAGTCCTGAGGTCTAAGAAACAGATGATGGAGCGTATGAGTGAACTTACTGCAGGGATCAATGTGGAGGAGTTACATCCAAAGGAAAAGGCCGACTTTGTATTGAGTAAAGATATCAAATCACTACATCACATTGGAGATGTGATTGTACTACCACAATGTAAAGTGAAGGTTAATCATTTTGAACACCTTCAACAAGAGAAGCAAATTTCATTTTCACTATCAATGGAGGCACCAGATTCATCTATTTTGTCTGTTCCCCTCTCTTCTCTGAGGTGTAGTCTAGTACCAGTTGGTAAAGGTGATCAACCCATTCACACTACAGTCACTACCACCAGCACTGATCCTGGAGTGTATAGGATACAGTGTAACCCTTCAACATGTGGTACTCATACAGTAAAAGTACAAGTATATGATGTACACCTTGAGGATACCTCACTAGTCATCCCTTTCAATCCTTACCTTGATAACATCACTCCAGTACGTACTACAACTGAGCTTAAGGCTCCCTGTGGAGTTGCTGTAAGTGATGATAATCATGTTATAATAACTGAGCGTGATGGTAACTGTGTAACAATACTGGATAGAGAAGGAAAGAAAGTGAAATCATTAGGAGGGGAAGGAGGAAGTGGTAATGTCAAGTTTTCTAATCCTCGTGGTGTAGCTATTACTCCAGACAAATTCATTCTTGTATCTGATGATCACAGGATCCAGAAGATAAGCATGGATGGAGACCTTATAGCATCAGTTGGTGAGGAGGGCAGTGAACTACTACAATTCAGTACTCCTGCTGGTATAGCCATTTCTCCTATAACAGGACAGGTTTATATTGCTGATAGTGGTAATCATCGTATACAAGTCTTGAATCCTGATCTAACCTTCTTTCATTCATTTGGTAGTGAAGGATCAGCTAATAGACAGTTTAATATTCCAACAGACATTGCTATTGACAGTCAAGGATTAGTGTATGTTACTGATCAGGGTAATCATCGCATTCAGAAGTTCTCTCCAGATGGAAAGTTTGTGGGTCAGTTTGGTACTGAAGGATCTGGTCCTGGACAGCTTAGTAGTCCATTAGGTATAGCAATAGACACTGCAGCTACTGGTCTAGTGTATGTTAGTGAAGAGGACAATAATCGTATATCAGTCTTCACTAGTGATGGTGTGTTTGTTAGTAAGTTTGAAGATGACTTGAAGCCAGCATTATTGACATTTGATAAAGATGGATTCTTGTATGTTTGTGATTACAGTAATGGCAAAATGCATAAGTGTTGATTATTATTAATTATTAGGTTAATTTTTTATTTTAACCTTTTATGTAATTGAGTTGTAAAAATTACAATTAACCATAAGGGTGTGGGGCCAGTTGTCAAGGTAACCATAATAATATAAGATCACAACACAGCTATGCCAATGTACATGCAATATATTAAACCAATTCGCCAAGGCCAATTGCAAATCAAACATTGACTACACCCACAAAATAATAGATAAACCACTAGCCATGAAGAGTAAGATGACAAGATTGGGCATTTGAGTACATGTAATTTGTAACAGTCACTCACTCACTGACTTTATGAGCATACAAACATTTACAAGCACTGATAGTGCCTAAGGAACAATAATAGCCACAAGTGTAATGAAATATTGAAAATACCTTTCTCTCTATTGGCCATGTTATAGCACATGTCTTTAATTAAAAGAAGGTGTGGCTTGTGTGTACTATTATTTAATTATTGATTATTCTTCATTAATAAAAATGATGACTCTAATTTATTATCATAATATTATTATTATTATTATTATTGTTATTGTTGTTGTTGTTGTTGTTGTTGTTCTGGTTGTAACTGTCGTCCTTCTCCCCAGGCGAACCCACCCGGTCTATCTTCAGGTAATGGAGCGTAATTAGGATCATTCTGAGGACCATCAAAGAAATGCCTCCTACAAGAAAGAGAGAGGGGAGGGGGAAAGAGAGATAATATCGAGGAACAAAAGAGGAAACAAACTTATTATAGATAGGGTTTAGGGTAAACCCTTTAACATACATGAATTGTGGTGTTTTCAACAAGAGGAATCCACCTGGTTTATTAGGAAAGACGTCCATTATGAAGTAATAAATATGACCTACTACTATACCTAGAGAAGAAGAGACAAGACAAAGGCTCATTCACATGCTCATTTCACACAATTAGGTAACATTACTGTGGGATCAACCATTAGATTATAATTACACTTCTAGTCATTGTTTAATACCTTACCTTATGTTAAGTATCAGTATATGAATCATCATCATCAACATTATAACACACAGCCATTAACAAATCAAATGATTGCCAACCAAAACTCCATCAGTGTATCCACAAAATACCACTTACCCACTAAATCTCCGATAATAGATCCATTGAAGAGCACAGATAGAAGAACCAGTATCCATGGAAGATAGGGAGCCTGGAATGTGAACAATCCAAAGAATGTGTATCTCACGTAAGGATTCCTTCTACTCCACACGTAGACTATCATTGTTGTGAGAGCATCACCAAGAAAGAATAAATGAATGAAGGTCGATATTGACTATTAAAAACAACAACAACAATAATAATAATTTTAAACTGAAATTCATTACAATAGATGATAGAGTGTAATAATTATTATGTTGTAGGTTTACCAGTAATAGTGTAGATCCAAATATTAACATGACAAGAAAATCAGCTGTTTTTCCGGCAAAAGAACCTTCCTCTAGTTTCCTACAAAACCGATACCTAAGGATCATCATTTAACGTTAAGAAAACAATTGTGTATATACATGACAGGTATTGAGAGATGAAGGAGAGAGAGGAGGAGGAGGATACAGAAAGATCATGTTGAAGAAGAAACCGATTCCAACGAAACCAAAGAATAGAAAACATGTAAACAATCTCCAAACCTAAAGGGAAGATAGAGCACATTGCATCTTGATTCCACGCAAAATTGAAATTATTAAAGTTACTCAAAAATTTGACCAAAGTCCCTGTACTAGGGACTTTGGTCAAATTTGCCAAAAATGAAAAGTAGAGAATTCTCCATTTTTATTATAGTTTCAGATGCATATACATGTTCTTATGTTGTGTAGAAAGTTTGAGGTAATTCTGATCAAAATTGGACTTTTTACAAATTTTTTAAGTTGCTCAAAATTTGGACAAGCTGATTTCAATGGCTACAAGATGCTATTACAATTAAGATGCAGTGTTTACAATACTCAGGTTTAAAAAAACTACATTACAAGAATAGTTACATAATCGATGACGTGGCTTAATCTGATTGGTCAGACTCTTAAAAATAATTATGTCCAATATTGCACTATTACTATTAATTATTAAATTATTACCAGAGATGTGGAAAAATTAATTATGCTACCAGACATTTGTCCTATTCACTGTTGATACTAACGGACTTAGCACGATACCAAGAAAATGCATGAGAATGATGCTAGGCTAATGGCACGTACAACAGGTAGTTGACAAGTCATTAGATGTTTAGAAATGGCTTATTTTGCTTTGGAAAGTCTTAAACATTGTCCCATTTAAAGCCACTATTTTATTTCTTGTAGCTACACCAACTTCTACTATAAATTGTCCATTTGCTACTGTTAAAAATAACAGTCATTTTGTCCTTTCAATTGACCCCAAAATCGGACAAAATTCACCAATACCGGACAATGACTGGCATGTCTGGCAGTTTCCACATCATTGATTATTACTATTATTGTCATTATTATAATGACATCAAGTTTCACTCACTTCTCCCTTAAATACTAGCTGTGGGTGATAGAGAAGCAACAATGGAGACACCACATTGAGTTGCTGCAAAATAAAAATAATAATTATAAAAAAGACACACAAATAAAGAAGTTGATAAAAGTCCACATAGATCAAGCCTCAAATGCTCCTGGAGTTTCAAATGCAGTAGTACTAACCACGGCTATTGTTGTAAGTATACAAGCTGATGTATAGACCCTAGTTACTATAGGAATCTGGAAGAACTCGTCTCTGATGTGTTGAGCCATTTTGAGGCTTTTGTTGTTGTAATTTAAATTTTCTTAAAACCATTAAATAAAGTAATAAAGTTATTACGGCATGGCAGTTCGATTAAACCACGCCCATAATTATCACCCACACAGCCACACCTCCTTTTCAATTAGGAGGCCATGCATCAAAACAGTGTAGCGTTTTGACTCGTTTTTGGTGTAAAAGCAACAGAAAGCAGCCCATAATTCTCCTCTATCTGACTCATAATGGAGGCTGGAGCCTACACAGCTGGAAAGAGACACCATTCTTCCACAGATGAAGGTAAAGCATTCCCAGTAGTTACTCTATCCCGCCCACGTTATCCCTAATTGAGGGGTAGACCTCCCACGCTGTCGCTGCTACTGGTCAAGTTCCTCTTCCTTTTCTCTCTCTGTTTTTAGATACTGAGGACGCTAGTGAGCCTGAGCTCTTTAAAATGGACGGGCCTGAAGGAAGCCAAGGCAGCAGGTGAGTGGGTTTAGTCATAAAAACTAAGAATTTTACACTTTCCTTTCTCTTTCTTTTCTTTGCTAGTTCTTATAAAGAGAAGATAGCAATTCTAGAGGAACATTTAAAACAAGTCAATGAAGGTACATTGTATGATGTTGCATGTGATGAATGATACATGATTATTTTGAAGTTCGTTAGTTCAAACTTTTGAATTTGAGTTTTTAATTTTAACCCTCTTAAGGCAGTAGGGCGTAGGCTAATAGTTATTAATAGTTATTAATGGTTATATTAGGTACTTTCCCCGAGTATGTACGTCGGCTGCAGGAGCTTAAGGAACTAAGAGACAAGAGGATCTTCATGGCCGAAATATTCAAAGAATATGAAGTAATATTTAATCTCTAGTTTACCTGATCTTCTCCCGTAGCTTAATGCAGCGAAGGAGGAATATGATAGAGAAAGATCTCAAGCTATTTTAGAGTGTGAGGTACAATTATTATTAATTTATTTATTGTATTTATTTATTATTAATTGTTAGACTAAAAGATCAGATTTAAAAGATAATTTGCTGATGGAATTGCAAGAGAAGAAGAAAACTGTTGAAAACTTGAGATCATCAATGGAAATAACTACAGGAGCTTGTGAGTATGAGCATCAGTAGCAGCTGTGATCAAGTAATTCACTCTCCTCTTCTTCCTCCCTCTCTCTCTCTCTCAGATCTGTTTGAGCCCAAGATGATGGTAACTAGGAAACTCCGTAGACGGAATTACGAATCTTTGCCATTACCTGAAAAGAGGCGGAGGTCTTCACCATTCTATATCCTTTCACTTTCAATTGACGACATTTTATTTAGTTTTGTATTGTTGTGATGTTGTTGTCCTTAATTTAGTTTCACTTTCGACGTTAGTTTATGAGTTAGACGAGAATGATATTGAGGAAGATTTGAAGTATATATGCAAGGTACCTTACTAAATGGGTGTGGTCAAGTATAATTATTTTATTAGGGTAAGACCACACCTGTTAGCTCACTAGTGTCCGGTAGACCGACTGTCTCCGCCCCTGGTATTATATCACATGACTATCACATGACTTTACCTAGTTTATGTAGCTCCTTCTCTGACGGTTGCATCACCAGAAGTGGTATATGATGTAAGGGTTGAAGATGGTAAACTTCATTATGAAGGAAAGAGGTTAGGAAAGAGAATTCTTACTGTCTGCCATCATATTTCTTGTCTTCCTTCTTTCTGTGTTTTTATAGTTATGGAAAGAATCAACATGTGATTGTGGAGTCTAAAGAAAGAGGATCAGAAGCGTAAGTATATCTAGTTATTTTATTTATGATGTTACCTGTGGTTTTGTCTCTTCCTCTAGTGCTGTAATATCTTCAATATCACACAGCGAAGTAAAGTTATTCCCCTGCTTCAATGCCACTCTACATTCTCCTTTCTTCCTTCTCACTCTTCATTATTAATGTGTTAAATGGTGTTTCCATTGCAATTAGTATGTTCATTAATCAACACTCTCTTTTCTTTACAGATTATTGTCAAGCTACTCCCTGAACATGCTAAGCTACGTATTTACCTCTCACACTTATCTCGTGGTAGATATATCATCAGAAAGAAGAACTCTTAAACTCCTCTCCCTCTCTCTCTTTCCATATAAACTCATTATAATTCAACTTTTACATTTTGATAATGATAATCATGATGATGGAGTGTTGGAGGTGTGTGTGTGTGTGTGTGTGTGTGGTTACACAACATCATTCCACTCTGTGTATGAATACCTTCACCGCCTAATTTTGACTGGTTTACTCTGTTTATCATGAATGAAGCAGTTAGAGATATAACTGCAGGAGCCGTTGGAGGTAAGTAAACATAAAAGAAACTTTCTTTAACCTACTTTAGGTGGAGTGGGTCTACTGGCCTGTCAGCCTTTTGATACAGTAAAGGTAGGAGCTCATCTCTTTCCGTCTTGAGTTAAGAGTTGTGTATACTTTCTTTCATGTAGTCAAGGATTGTTGCTCTTATTGATACCCAAGGCAATGGTAATGGAGCTACAGCTACCGCTGGGAGGAATCCTATCGTCTATAGAAATGGCTTTGACTGTTTTGTGCAGACTTTTAAAACTGAAGGAGTAAGTTAGCTAAACTACACTCACTGTCTAGATCTATTAGGAATGAAAGGTCCCAGTCATTTAGTGTGCAAATTATTGATGATAAACCCGACACAGCATTATCTATTGTACGATGAAATTTGATAGCCACTGCTGATTCATAGTAGCCTGCTATACCTAAACACGAATAACTTCATATTTAATACGTGTGATTTGTTTACATAAATATTTCTTGGCTATCCTGTACTACAGGAAGAGAGAACTAGAAACTGTGATCCAGTAGTATCTATAGGTATTGTTGCTTTGACTGAGTAAGCATCAATGCCTGTAAGATAATTCACATTATGTTAACACTTTGAGCTGTAAGGAGCCTCACCCAATGCCAAGATTATAAACTGTGCGTTATTTTTAGACGCTTCTTCTATTTTTAGATACGAGGTCTATACAAAGGAATGATGTATCCATTAATAGGACAAGCTATCATCAATGCAATGATATTCTCAGTTGAAGGACAGTGTATGAGGATACTCCAACCAGAAGGAGGGAAATTAAAAACTACTAACTCAATTATATCAGGTTTTGTGGCAGGGTTTGTCCAATCAACAGTCTGCAGTCCAATGGAGCTCATTAAGCTAAGAATGCAGCTGCAAGGGATGGGGGAAAGTGGCAAGGGACCGAAGTACAGGGGACCGTGGCAGAATACAGTGGACATATGGCGGAGTGATGGGATCAGGAGAGGAATAATGAAAGGGTTCTGGTTAACTGTCGGTAGAGAATGCACTGCCTTTAGTCTTTACTTCTCTTCGTTTCGGTTCTTCACTGAAACAATGGCAGGTCCTAACAGCTCTAGCGACAGCCTGGGTCCATTCTGGTTGGGACTAGCAGGTGGTATGACCGGCTGTGTCGTTTGGATTGCCAGTTATCCGTTTGACGTACCAAAGACAAAGTTTCAAGGAGACGGAGTTCGTGGACCTGCAGAGTATACCGGCTCTTATGACTGCATTAAGAAGTTGTTCAAAGGATATGGACCAGGTGTATTCTATAAAGGAATCAATCCTTGTCTGGTGAGAGGGTTTCTCAACGGGTTTGCATTGCTACCGAGTGTAGAGTATGTTAAGAGATACTGGCCATGGACTTGATGATTTAATGTTGTTATTATAATTTATTTTTATTACAATTTTTATTTGTAACTTATGTCAAAAAATACAAAAAACAGTCTTAAAAGTTATTCAGCAACTTCTATTTAAGTATAAAACAGCATTAATTAAGTTCTAACTGCAGACACTGTGCCTTGCTTAATCTATCGGCAGCGAACTTTCATTTCAGTCCCCTTGCACGAATAATAACTACCCTTCCAAGAAGTCCATGTGATACCTCTAAGGTAAGAAACATGTGGATTTTCACTGTAAGGAGCATTGAGATTTGACTGCATACATCTATTGAACCACCAGCCACTTCTGTGTACTCGAGCACATGATGAATAATATCTGTCATAGTCACAATCTCGAGTGGAAAAATACATCCTATTATGTCGAGTGTTATATGAGCCACCATATAAGCTATCCCCTGCTGTGCCAGAGTACCCACCAATTGATAGCTGATACCTGTATGTACTGACATAAAAATATGAATATTCAGCATGTCTCCTGTCCTCCTCAAAATCTTCTAGTTCTACACGCAGAGTAGTCCGACAATTGCTGGAAAGTTTAGCAATGTAGTTCAATCCAAGCCAAAATTCACCAGTAACATTACCAAATCCATTCTCATACTCATACCAGTACCGATTGAAATCAAGAGATCCATCCATTCTCCTCTGTATAACAGTCCATCCACCTCCTGCAGTTTCCATATCACAATAAACCTAAACCAAATAGAAATGAATGCACTACAAAGACAGCCATTTATACCTTTATCATGGTCTCATTATCTTCAAGATATATTGGATAGACACAACTCTTTCTTACTCCAAGATCATACCAATCCTTGCAATCTCGAGGAAGAGGACAATCTATAAAAATGAAATAAGAGCTGGAGCTTTTAATAAGTAAAGGAAGTTACTTTCTTCAGGGCAGAGAGCATTCATGAAAGAAATGCAAGAAATGATGATTAAGAGAGCCAACATTTTGCTGAAAGAATATCACTGACTGTGCAGCTATAGTCTAATCGTGCCTTCTTTTGTTCTGCTTTATTGGGGGTGAGCCTGCAGTAAATGGGGTGAAACTGTCGGCAAGGTTGAGATGATTCTCAGTAAATGGGGTGAAACTGTTGGCAAGGTTGAGATTAACCCACATCACACTGATAAACTACAGGACAGTGTACGCAATGGATAAACTTGGCAACTCCTTTATCAGTTTCATGGCTCGCCCCATCGAATCCATTTATAATAAATTAAGTTTTTAGCTGTTGCAATACATAAATATATACTTAAAATTATAAAAAATGGAAATAAAAATTTATACAGTTATTTTACATAACAGAACATTTCTCTCGTTTCTTTTTCCCTCCACTGATCTCCTCATCACTACCATACTGTCTCTGATACTCCTCCATTGCCTCCAAATAAGAGACAGGAGGCCACCTAACAACGGAGACATCAAAAAAAATAATAAGATATATTCAAAAGTCAATGGTTGTTTAATTGTACCTGTGTTTCTCAATGTATTCTTTATTTTCAGTTTCAAGTTGTTTAAACTGGTCTTTATTCTCAAACACAAGATAATTGCTGGATATGAAGTGAAGACACCAGCCACTCAACTGGTCAGCATTGTGTAGCTGAGACAGTAGGAGAAGATCTAAAATAATAATAATAATAACAAATCAAATAGGGAGGATCCTTAATAAATTACTAACAAAAAATCATTGAAAAGGTATATTAAAATACAGCAATGAGGACATGCAATGAAAAGTATAATATCACACTATTCTTACCAATAATGTTAATATCAGCTTCAGCTATGGACTTGGCACATGCTTTGTCAACCTGTTTAGTGACGTACAACTGACAGAGTGAACTGAGTCTGGGCTGTACGTATTGATTAGCGAGGATCATGATACCAACACTGTCAGTCTCTTCAATCGGACTGTGATCAGTGTAGAGATACTCTAGCATTGCCAGAAATGTTTCACTGGATACTTCTGGTATCTCAATCTGAGAAAAAAATAATGACAAAAAATTAGCAAAGAATGACATGTAGATATACTTTAAAAAATAAGAAAAAACAGGACAAATATTGATACTCAAATAGGTCAATGTGATACTAACTTGATGAGTGTTGGTTTCAGAGAATCCTCCGGTTAACATGGCCGCCAGTACGTCACACCTGGTCGTCAGAACTATCTTGTGTGCAGGTACGGTCACTCCTTCAACAAGGAACTCCACATCCGAGAGGAAGGTCTTATTGAAGAAGAGATCTTTAGCTATGGAGCTGTTACGATCATTGAGCCAAGTACCGATACTAGGGTTAAGGAACTCTTGATCACTTTGAGCATTCTTGCATATTATTATGAGTTCCGGTAGATTGAGGAGACCAGCTGCCTTTATCGTTTCATCTAGTTCTTCGCTGATTTTATCAACCGTGATGGATCCAGTGTATAAAAACTCCAGACATCTCTTTAGAGCAGTCTCAGTGAACAGCTCCTCATCCAATGTTACATGAACTGTAGGCAGTGAATTAGAAGATGATCTATTAAGAAGAGAGAATCATTTGTTTTAATGATTTTCTTTATTAAAAAAATTTTTTTCATGCAATTCACTCACTGGTTCTCAGCCACAATCGACACAAACCCTTCCTCCTGTCCGTTATTAATAGTATCAAATGTGAGCTCCGTTAGTCTCTTCAGTGACCACTGGGGACACTCATACTCCGATAGACTCTCACTGGGTTTAAACTGGGACAACGGTACGCCCAATAACCTCCTCATGACATCAGATGCTGTACATAGGATGTACCGATGTCCGTGGTACCTCTTGTTACTTAAATGAATAACAACATCAGAGAATTGGGTGTGGTCGATGAGTTTGGACCAGTCGCTGGCTAACGTTGAGGAGGTGATGTTGATCCACGGAGCACGGGTGTTCTCAGGCATCACTGGAGGGGGAGGTACTGCCGGCTCTGAGGACTTGGAGGACTTCCTGTAATTAATAATAATAATAATAATAATAATAATAATAATAATAATAATTGAAGATGATGCTCCTATTAACCCTTCTATCCTTAATTTTTAACTTATTTCATATAAATTTAAATTTCAACTTATTATAAATTATTTTGTGACTGCTATTGCTGTTCTTCCATTTGTTCATAGTAATAATAATAATAATAATAATAATAATAATAATAATAATAATAATAATAATAATAATAATAATAATAATAATAATAATAATAATAAGTATAAGCATAATTATAATATTAAATAATGCACTTAAAAATAGCAAATTTTCCAAGGAAATAAAAGTAAGTTTTAAAAATACAAGTGGTATTAGTAATTCAAACAGAATGAGGTTCTATTGTACTTACTTTCTTTTGAATAAATTGAATCTTTTCTTTTTCTTCTTGTCTGATAAACCGTTAATGATGGCCGTGTGCATAGCCTCTTCAAGTCCTTGGTGCCGTAAAGAACTGACCTCATGAAAACCAGACAACACTAGAAAATATAAATAATAATAATAATAATACTGTAATTATGATTTAAAATTATTACAGAATTACGTAAGACATCAATATGCATCAAAAAATGTAATAAAAATTGGGGGTGATTTTGGAGCTATTTTTTGGAAAAAATCATGGGCTATAGTACAGGGTATTTTTCAGAATTTTGCCGTTTTTTAAAAAATGGCCATAACTTGAAAAATTGAAGTCGGAATCGGCTCAAACTTTCTACACAGCATAAGTACATCAATATGCATCAAAAAATGTAATAAAAATTGGGGGTGATTTCAGAGCCATTTTTTGGAAAAAACCATGGGCTATAGTACAGGGTATTTTTCAGAATTTTGCCGTTTTTAAAAAAATGGCCATAACTTGAAAAATTGAAGTCGGAATCGGCTCAAACTTTCTACACAGCATAAGTACATCAATATGTATCAAAAAATGTAATAAAAATTGGGGGTGATTTCGGAGCCATTTTTTGGAAAAAACCATGGGCTATAGTACAGGGTATTATTCAGAATTTTGCCGTTTTTTAAAAAATGGTCATAACTTTAAAAATTGAAGTCGGAATTGTCTCAAACTTTCTACGTAGCATAAGTACATCAATATGTATCAAAAAATGTAATAAAAATTGGGGGTAATTTCGGAGCCATTTTTTGGAAAAAACCATGGGCTATAGTACAGGGTATTATTCAGAATTTTGCCGTTTTTTAAAAAATGGTCATAACTTTAAAAATTGAAGTCGGAATTGTCTCAAACTTTCTACGTAGCATAAGTACATCAATATGTATCAAAAAATGTAATAAAAATTGGGGGTAATTTCGGAGCCATTTTTTGGAAAAAACCATGGGCTATAGTACAGGGTATTATTCAGAATTTTGCCGTTTTTTAAAAAATGGTCATAACTTTAAAAATTGAAGTCGGAATTGTCTCAAACTTTCTACACGGCATAAGTACATCAATATGTATCAAAAAATGTAATAAAAAGTGGGGGTGATTTTGGAGCCATTTTTTGGAAAAAACCATGGGCTATAGTACAGGGATTTTTTTAGAATTTTGCCGTTTTTAAAAAATGGTCACAACTTTTAAAATTGAAGTCGGAATTGTCTCAAACTTTCTACGTAGCATAAGTACATCAATATGTATCAAAAAATGTAATAAAAATTGGGGGTAATTTCGGAGCCATTTTTTGGAAAAAACCATGGGCTATAGTACAGGGTATTATTCAGAATTTTGCCGTTTTTTAAAAAATGGTCATAACTTTAAAAATTGAAGTCGGAATTGTCTCAAACTTTCTACACGGCATAAGTACATCAATATGTATCAAAAAATGTAATAAAAAGTGGGGGTGATTTTGGAGCCATTTTTTGGAAAAAACCATGGGCTATAGTACAGGGATTTTTTTAGAATTTTGCCGTTTTTAAAAAATGGTCACAACTTGAAAAATTGAAGTCAGAATTAGCTCAAACTTTCTACACAGCATAAGTACATCAATGATTCAATATGTATGATAATGTACCTTCCTCCCTTGCCAGCTGGTATCCCTCATCATAAGTCACTATGCTATGGGCAGTGTCCTTCAGATCACTTTTGAGTCCTAGCAGAACTACGTGAGCATCAGGAATGTATTGCCTCACTTCTGGAAGCCATTTTGATCTAACGATGCAGATAAATACTTGTAAAAGGTTAAAGCTATCTTTACTTTATATTTTCAAAAGACGATCTGTTGGATATGTCATAACACATTAATATAACATCAGTTTCAGGATAAGCTAATGGACGCAATCTATCATAGTCTTCCTGTCCAGCTGCAGAAAAATGAAAAAATCAGTTCAAAATCTATTTCCTACTCTACAGGATCAGTCTTAGTTCACCTGTGTCAAAAACTGCTAATATAACATTCCCATGGCCTTCTACAAATTTGTCCATAGCATAATTATCAAAGACAGTTGGAACATATTCGCTGGGAAAGCTTCCACTAGACCATGAGATGAGGAAGCAAGATTTACCAACAGCCCCGTCACCAACAACAACCATTTTAAGTCTAGGAGAATCGTAAGAGGCCATGCTTATAAAGTAAACTATAGAAAATAATTAAGAATGATCTTGGCATTTTGCAGCCATTTTTATGTTGAAACGAAGTCTATTTTTAGAACATGTTATTTTTAGCACAAATATATTACATCATTATAAATTAGTTAATTAACTGTTATATTAATTAAAGTTAACTAATATTAATAAGTTTATAACTATAATAGGCAGGCTAACTCCACCTACTCGTTAAAAATGGCGTCGCAGTCAAACATTTCTTTAAACATTTCATTAAATATCGACTCTTCTGAACCTGAGAATGAGTCCAATCTCGAGGAACAATCACTAAAAATACATGACGAATCCTTAGGCGTGAGATGGAAAGCTGACAGACCATGGTAACAAAATAATAAAATTAATTATAATTAATTTTATTTGGTATTATTAATTTTAAAGGTGCATGAGGTTAATGGTATTAATATACAATGAAGTGAAGATACAGACGTTACTGGCTTGGTGTAATACACTAGGTGGGGCACATTCCTCTCTTGGAGAAACCACCCTAAGACATGTATGTTAAATATCGTGTTAATGTTGCGTTAAGAAACCATTGGTAGCTGTATTAAAATGGTGTTATTTTTGCGTTAATTTAGTACTGATTGTTGATATTAAACTGTCTGACGTATGTATAGAAATATTGATCAATATTTTTGTATAATCAACACTGTCATGGGATGTTAAAAATGAAAATTAAAAATCCTAAATGGATATATGTATGTTATTATTAAATCAAAGCAAAAGCTGTAGACAAAGTAACCTCCTTTATCCCTCCCTCTCTGTCTGACTGCTTGTCTACAAGTACATGTACATGTACATGTATTTCACTAATTACTTATGGGCTAAACATTAACAGCTGGTTGTGGTTCCTGCTGGTCCCGCCCACACACTCAATCACTCAACTAATGTTAATTCATCCTTGAAATATCCTTAGAAGGTTTCTTTGTCTTCCTCTGTGAGTGTAATCAGATCCATTAATGAGTCACAAGTACTATCTTGTGATAGCCCATAGAATCCATGTACATGTATACATCATGCAAATGTTGACTTTTATGTGTGTGTGTGTGTGTGTGTGTGTGTGTGTGTTCTTGTGTGTAAGGATGGGCAATTATAAGATAGAAGAATTTGTAGTATTTTTGGCTCTCTCTCTCCTTTCTTAATTTGTACATCAATTATATATACATGTACTTCTAATTTCTTTATTATTATTTATACTATTTATTATTATTATTATTATTATTATTATTATTATTATTATTATTATTATTATTATTATTATTATTATTATTTGTTAGGCAGCAGAGGCTGGGTTGATATCACGTAGACAGTACGAATTGTCTCATGAGAAAGGAGACCACGTGATGATGTGTAGGTGTCGCCTGTACCTTGCCTTCTCTCACTTGCAACTTAAAAACTTAAAAGAAGCAAAGACTATCATCAAGTAAGAGGAGGAGGAGGAGAGAGGGGGGATTTATTTAAATATAAAGACAGATGTTGCTACATTAATATAATAGCGATTGTTAGTCTTATAATGGATCCCAATGCCAGATAAAGATAATCAATAATACTAATAATAATAACAATGATAATAATAATAATTATTATTATTATTATGTTGATGATTGTGGTCTTTATCTTGCTTGTTTTGTCTCTGTTAGTTTTATTGTTTTGTCTAACAGTTTGACCTCTTTCTGTAGCCTTGTCTCCGCTCATTTGAACTAATTAATAATTATTATTTTCAATTTGATTATACAAACCTCAAGGTTGGCATAGTGAGCTAAATTTAATTAAGTATAGTTATCATCATCATTATTATTATTATTATTATTATTATTATTATTATTAGCCAGCATTCTTGTAGCCTATTCAGTTTACATTATGAAGAGAGAGAGAGAGAGAGAGAGAGAGAGAGAGAGAGAGAGAGAGAGAGAGAGAGAGAGAGAGAGAGAGAGAGAGAGAGAGAGAGAGGAGGACAATCATGATACATACGTGTACAAAAGTGAAATTCTATCACCTTCTAATAATCTAATATACTCATCTCACGTTTCACTGATCTACTCCTTCCTTTCCTGGAACATATCACAGACTATTTGGGTTTTCCTTTTTTGTTGTGGCTGAGAGAGAGAGAGAGGCAAAGAGATGAAATCTACTGATAGTGTACACATTATGTAGCGACACTAGTAGCAGTACTTTGTTATTGTACCATAGAAGTACGTGCATTACACAGCAGTGCATCATACACTGTAGTTGTAATGATAGTGAAGTGATGTCATGTTAAATTCTTAGTATTGGAGCTGTCTTAAATGTAATTACAGATGTTTTCAGCTAATTTCCTATCCTCATTAATAATAAAAAGAGTGGATAATAATAATATTCACTAACTTATAATGTTTCTAATGGAAGGCTAATGGAAACGCTTTACCAGCTGTTCAAGTACATGTATAATGTATTGCGTGGTGTGGGTGTGGTGTGTTGATTCTGATTCTTGTGTACGTTTACAGTCTAGAACCTACTGCTATAGACACATTATAATAATAACCTGTTCACTTTGTTTTAGTAATGTTGTCTTTCACCATTTCTATCTCCCAGCCTTTAATGTCTGCACGAATATTCATGAACTGTAGAGTTTCTTTTACTACACGTTCTGTACCTGTTCATAGGCACATGTACATCACATGTACATGTACAGTTGGTAGTAGTGCCCTGGAGCTATTAATCATGTGCTTTTTTCCCTCTTTTATCTGTTTAAACAGCTGCTCATGGCTGGTGGCCCTTTAGTGTTCAACTCTATAGGCCACTATTGTGGTAGAAACACCTCTGGATATTAGGGACATCAATGGACTCTCCTTATAATAAAGAGGCTACACTGTACATGTATTAAGGACAGGTATATAGTGTGGGTCCAATGGTGTCCTTAATAAAGAGGCTACACTGTACATGTATTAAGGACAGGTAGTGTGGGCCCAATGGTGTCCTTAATAAAGAGGCTACACTGTACATGTATTAAGGACAGGTAGTGTGGGCCCAATGGTGTCCTTAGTAAAGAGGCTACACTGTACATGTATTAAGGACAGGTAGTGTGGGCCCAATGGTGTCCTTAATAAAGAGGCTACACTGTACATGTATTAAGGACAGGTAGTGTGGGCCCAATGGTGTCCTTAATAAAGAGGCTACACTGTACATGTACATATAAGTATGTACATGTTAAGTAGGTAATTAATCAATAAATTATAAGATTATGTGTTCATTATCTCATATTGAATCTGGATTGACAATGGATCAAAGGAATACCTTTATCCCAATTGTTTCGCAAAGTTCACTCTTTGTTTTCTTTCATAATGGACATGTTTATATACTTTCCCACACTACACTATCACACAATGACTTCAAAGCTCAAGCCTTGNGCTATCCACATCCCCCCAGCTGCTACATGTACATGTACATGTACTTGTGCGCCAAAACACACATACTAATGATACTACATGTATAACATGCCAGTTTCATTGTTTTTGTGATGGTGTCTATATAATCATACTTGCTTTTAAACCTTTAGTGGCAGGTGCTATTGTTTTCTTTAAATTGTACATGTACAGTGTATCTGTAGGCCTCTCCCTCTCTCTCTTGGTCAGGCACTATCTCTTACTGTGTGTGTTTCTTGTTCTGATTGTTTACCTTTATTTAACACCAATTGTTTCTGTGCTATGAGTTGTTTATTTTATGTAATTGGTTCATGCACCTGTCCTCTGTCCTTTCTCCCTCCCCTCCCCCTCCCCCTCTCTCTCTCTTTCTCTAATGTCAGTAGTTATCCTTATCTTTTATTTCCTTATTCAATATAGAGAGGAGTATCATAACTTGAATACACAAACCTCAGAACCAGACAGAAAAGTAAGCACATGTACATGTACATGTGCATGTACATGTACAGTGTTCTGGCCCTAATTATAACCATATACAGTAGTGTATCAATACAATTGCATGTAATGTGTATGTACATATAGTTTGATCTGATAGCTTAATTTGTACTATAATGGAATCATTTAATGCAATATCTCTCTCTACTTCTTATTATAGTATGCCCATTAGACTTTTAAATACAATACATGTACATGTACATATACATTAATACGTAATAGTAGTAGTGGTAGTAAAGAGAGAGAGGTTCTTAAGGTTTCCTAATGATAACGGGATAAGTGCTAGTGCTCAGGTAAGGGTTCTCATGTCATATGCTTTCAGTACCCTGTGTGGGTTCTTAGCTCTGTGGTTACTCATGATGATAATAATAATGACACATCATGTACATACATGTATTCATGCATGTACATGTACATGTACATTAGGATTTAACATTATTATGATGTACATGTAGCTTATATGTATATACATTATACTTAAGGTAGGGTACTTTCTAGCAGTATTGATATATTGTGGTATCTTTGGTCTTGGTAGTAGTGATAAGCTTCAATTGGTGATTACATACTCTCACTCTCAAGGCTTCCATTAGTCTGGTAATACTGGTATAGGCTCAAGTTTCAAATCCAATTGTTTACTATCCTTAGCACTATCGATCTCTTAACCATTTCACCTCAAGAATACATACATGTACATGTGTACATGTACATATAATCTCATTTGTAGCTCTAGCCAACCACTTGATTTAGTGGTGGGTATGACTCTTGTTTGTATGGTGAAGGTTGAAGACCACTTAAGTGTCTTCTCTTATGGTTCACCATCCTTTACCATCCTTCCTTGTTATTTTCCTCTTTCTCTCTCTTTCTTCTTTTCTCTTTCCTTGTCCCTCTCTCTAAATACTCTCATATATAATAATAATAAGAAATTATTATAGCTTTGTTGATTGGCAGCAAGGTCAGTCACATCCACCCAAAATTTCGTATGATTTCACAACGTCTGTCTATACCTGTGCATCACGGCGTCTATAGACAGGTTAGACTGGTTTGTTGTGTCTTCGTGTCCAGATAACCCAGTCTCCCTTTCCCTCCAGTTTATTGCTAATGTATTTTGTAGTTTTTGTGTAAAAAACCTTTCATGTGTACTGTAGCTTAAGGTTTTAACACTTCATAGTGTAAACATGTACAGGAACCTTAATTTAGACCCCACCTGCACTTTGTCATTCAAAAATTAGCACCAAATTTTAATAGCTTAAGCTACCCACTGTCATACATTATAGCAATTAAGAACAGGTATTATCTACTCTTGGTATTATGTACCTTTATTCCTTCATTGTGTCCATTATAGTGTGTGTTAATTTCTAGAGGATCCATTGTGCTATTGCCTGAATGGTTGGGGGGATGTGTCTCTGTGTGATGTAACTTGATGTGTCTAACTTTTAAGTAGTTTCATCTTTGATATGAGCCAGTGTACTTTTGTCTATCTCAGACATAATAAATAACATTATTGTATCCTTTTGTATCTATTATCAGCTCTCACTGTATGTGTTCATGTATAATGATATTAATGATATGAAGTATGTTAGTACCCAGCTGGACCTGACATTGTGTATTAATGATGCTGTATCCTTCTTGTTTAGCTGCTGCATGCATGACATGGTTCAATTTAAGTGTGCTGTCTTTATCTGATTATAATTTCAACAGACTTCAAGTCTCTTGATAGTCTTCCTCCATTAATTATCCACTGACATGTTTTGTGGTTCTCTTCATTAGTCCCTCACTCCATTAGTGGCTTATTTTGATAGCCATGTTGCCATGGAAACATGGTCTAAGCCTGCTGCTGTGTAATTATTATAATGTACATACTACATGTACATGTACACTATGTAATGATTGAAAGGTTTTTGGGAGGAAGAGAGAGTGGGGGAGGAAGGTAGGGACTATAGCCAGGTTAGTTTAATGGGATAGAGACAGTGTGGGTCTAAATTGTAAAGGAGAGAAAGAGGGAGGGAAGAAAATTGATAAGTACTTTGAGGAGGAGAGGCTGATAGAGTTCAGGGCAACCTTTTAATGCATCCAATGGTGTCTGTTTTTGTTATGTTTATTTGCAGAAAGTCTTATCATTTTATTATTGTTTAACAGCCTCTGCTGATAATGTAAGGTGATTATAATCATTAGCCATCTTTATCTCTCCTCCTCCCTCCCTCCCCCTCTCTCTCAGTCTTCTAATCACCATATCCTTTACCTATCCATCCTGTCTTGGAGACAATTAAATCATCACAAGAGGCTTCAGTCTAATGTAGCACACGTACATGTACATGTGCATGTACATGTATGTGTATATGTACATGTATGTGTACATATACATGTACATGCACATCATGTTGTACATGTATATGTATAATGTATAATCATATGTAGTTTGTGTGTGATGAGTGTCTGCTGTACATGCTGACATGTCATGTTTACAAATGATGTTTTCACAGGGCAGCTAATGCAACCCTGTGACCAACTCTTTCACATGAAGTCATTCCATTATCTCATTACTAGTCGCTGCTCACATCTTTGATGCTAATAAGTACCTCATTATTAACCTCCTAGCGTGTTATTGTCTCACTGAGGTATACAGTGAATGTCATGAATGAATGAAAGTATAATTATAATGTACTTGTACTTGTATGTCTCTCTCTCTTTGTGTCTTAATTCCTTTCTAATTGATATATGACATGCATTTTTTCTATTTAATTGACATTTCTTTCTTGTATAATACATTAGTATACATGTACACTGTATGGATGCAAAGTTCTCTCTCTCTCTCTCTCTCCCTCTTTGTATATGTTATGGTTTCCAGTGCTAGGTTATTCACTGTGTGTGTGTGTGTATATATTGTATTATGTTATGATAAAGATGCTTTGATAAATCTCCTTTGATCTTTCACATGCCGCCTGCACTGGTACTTGTGTACAGTGTATCTTGACTATTATAAACATTATAGCGGCCGGGTTCAATTTCTATTGCAGCTGCTTACGTTAAATGTATACCTACCTACATGTATGGAGGTCTAACATTAATTATTGACACATGTACCGTATTATAAGTAGTTCTTTTAAGTTCACTTAAACTGCTTTATATTCATCTTCTTGTTATTATTGTTCCATTAGCATAATTCCATTACAATTAATGCACTCACAGACCAGCTGTGTATAACCAATAGTTTATATAAAGTGCACTTTTGATAGGACTAGTTTAAAAGAGGCTGGCCCCTCCTCCTTCCCAGGAGTGACTTATCCTTCAAGTATACACACATCCAGTTCTTTCTTTTATCTGCTTGTTTAGCAATTGTGTATGTCCAAGTATCTTTAATACTATAGCCATAGCCTTTGAACTCTTCCTCTTTAGTCTCCTCAAGGGCATATTTCTGAGTAATGACTTAGAGGAATGGAGTACAAACTATTTTTGCTTGTATAACTTATTATTCTTCTCCATGCTTTGAATTCTTCACATAAATTTATTTTCTGTAAATTAAGCCATATTCCAATAGCAGGTGGTTGGTTTTTGAATTTCTAAGTAACAGCTAGGAGCCATATTGTCCTGTTTATTATACTCTCAGTCTTAATACTACACATACAAGGTATAATGTGCATGTATAAACAGTACAGGGTTCTCAGTATTGTGTCTTTCCTCTCTCTTTCTGATGGTATAAGATGAAAGGTTGCTAGACTATGAGAACTTCATTCACTGCCAAAACCACACACTACTCCTTTATGTGTACAAAGCCAATCCTTAAAGAAAAGGGACACTTCTGTTTGGCTGATGCTCAACCCACAAACATCTACATTAATATATTCTTAATAGCAGGAGTAGTAACTTTAATACTACATGTACAGGAATCTTCTTATCTCTCTTTCTCTTTCAATATTACTTGTACATGTATGTCATTGATGTATACATCTAAACACCTTTACTGTATTTATGACTCATATACAACTACATAGTTATTCATTTTTGACCCAGAAATACATTTAAACTTGTAGCCCAATTGTCCTAGAATGGTTGTTATAAGAGACTGTTTGAACCTCTGCCTCTCCTTTATTGAGGTGTCCAGTGTTATTATAATCTGGATGCCATCCCTCCCTCTTTCCCTCTCCTGCTGCTGTATCTAATGGTCTCCTTGTGGGCTGGTTTGGTTGTCTGGGTAGGCCTAGTGGTGTCTTTTATCTCCTGCTCTGCCTGTCATAGTGTCTTTTGGGTCCAAGATAAACTTTGCCCTATAAACAATGGGCCAGGGCCAGGATTGAGAGTGAATTGTGAATTAACTAATATAGCCTCTCTTAATGGACACTCTCTATAGCGCACACCTCCATTTAACGGGCAGCACCTAGTGTACCAATTACATTCCTTACTGTATAAAATAACCTCCACATAAAGGACACCTCTGTATAACAGAGACTGTACTTTCATTGTGTTGATCTGTTTGGTCTGGCATGTATTACATCAGTTGTTTACTTTTACTCCACCAGTAAGTACATTTCCTTTCCATTGTCAGTCTATTACGAATTACTACACTCAGTTCATGTAGTTCATGTACTTTATCACTCTTGATCTAGTCTATTTGATTTATGCATTTAAGTCTTGATTCATTGCTTTTTAAAATTATGATTGCTTTTTGTTATTTTGGAGGCGATTTTTCTTCTTCTGATATGTTTTGGGGATGTCTGCATGTCTTGTGGGATATAATCTTCCATTTCTTTGTTCTATCATCACTTCCTGTCATTATCATTTACTATCATCGCTTACTCTCTCTCTCCCTCTTCCTCTTTCACACACTTATACATCCCCCTCCCACCCTCTCCCCTCTTTCTTTCCCCATCATTCTTGATTAGCAGTATTTTTGCTTATCCTTAATGTTAATAATGACAGCTAGCATTCTGTATGCTTACAAACCTTACATCAGCTTGTATTATTATTGTTATTATTTTA